AACTACCAGAAGCTAATGTATTTCCATCAGGAGAGAAACAGACTGACTAGACATAATGAGTATTACAATCTAATTTGGCTTTTTATTATCCTGTTTTGACATCCCATAGACGGATAGACTTATCATCACTACCAGAAGCTAATGTATTTCCATCAGGAGAGAAACAGACTGAGTTGACAGATTAACTATGACCATCTAATTTGGCTATTGTTTTTTTACTCTTAACATCCCATAGACGAATAGACATATCTTTACTACTTGAAGCTATTGTATTTCCATCAGGTGAAATACAAACTGAGTTGACCTTACTACTATGGCCATCCAATTTGGCTTTTTATTATCCTGTTTTGACATCCCATAGACGGATTGAGTAATCACGATCTCCATTTTCTCTACCACCTCCAGAAGCTAATGTGTTTCCATCATGAGAAAAACAAACTGATGCTACATTAGCTCTATGACCATTAATTTTATTCAATTCATGGATTCTTAAGTCTTTCCATTTACAATTAAATAATTATGCTTAATTTAGATTAATTCCGCTTATGTTTACATTATTAAATTCAGATCCACTAAAATTACACCTTACAAAATTAGCTCCCACCAAAGAAGTATTTTATATTTTAATGTTTTCAAAATTTTTGTTTCTAAGGTCCACCTTCACCTAAACTAATAGATGAAATGAATTAGACCCACATTATATCAAAGTTTCATCAAAAGATGTGAGGTGAACTAAAAATTACAGAAATTCAAGGATCAATCTATTATCCTTGATACTATTAATTAAACTTTATGTGGATTCTTCATTTTCTTCAGAGGAATAGTCTTTCTTATTGAAGTCATGGTATTTTAATTTTCTTAAAACTTTTGTGATTTATTTGATATCATTTCTAATAATAGACAATTTCTATTCTTTATCAGCCTGGGTGATATCAACTCCTTTTTGTAAGATACATGATTCTAATTGGCTTTGATTTCTGTTATCTGAAAGATATTGAATGAGGTCTTAAACTTTTTCATTACTCAATTTATCTAATATGACACCAAAGATTTGTATATCTACATCTTTTATTTGACCAAAGATGTCAGTTAGAGCTTCCTTCTCTTAAAAATGGGCTTGCATATTCTTTTTTATTTTTAATAATGAATTTCTAT